GTTTCTCTTTTCAGTGTTGTTAGAGTTTGTTTTATGTATTTTGGAGCCCTGTCATTGGGTGCATAGCTGTTTATTATGGTTATGTCTTCATGATGGATCGTCCCCTTAATCATTATATAGTGTCCTTCTTTGTCTTTTATGGTGGATTTTGTTTTAAAGTCTATTTTATCTGAGATTAGTATTGCCACTCCTGCTCTTTTTTGGTAGCTGTTTGCTTGATATATATTTTTCCATCCTTTGATTTTTAATAAATTTATGCCTTTGTTTCTAAGGTGTGTCTCTTATAGACAGCATATTGATGGATCCTGTTTTTGTAATCCATGCTGTCACTGTCCATCTCTTTATGGGTGCATTTAGGCCATTTAAATTCAGTGTAATTATTGGTAGTTGTGAGTTTATTGCTGTCATTTTGTAGTGCTTTTTTGTGTTGTTGACATTTTCTTTGTTCCTCTTACTCTCCTGTGCTGAATTCATTTTGTTTGTGGATTTTTTTTTCATTTCTTTTGTTTTTATAGCTTTTGTGTTTATTGAGACTTTATGTTTTTCCTCTTTATTTTCATGAGTAGGTTTGTTAACTTTCTTTGTGGTTACCGTGAAATTTACTTGTATCTTTCTAAGTTTGAAGCAGTCGATTATTACTTGGTATCACCTTGCCTTCTTCTCCATTAGAAGGTTCTATACCTACACCGTTTATTCCCTCTTTTGTTGTTTTGATGCTGTTGTCATTTACAGATTAACTTCTCTGGTTCCCTGTTGTAATTTTTTTGGTTTTAGATAGTTCTTGAGAATTCATCTCCTAAGTTAATATCTTGCTGGTACGATCCTGCATCCCAGATTCAGCCTGTGGTCTGATGTTTTTTGTTCTCAGTCTGAACGACCCCCTTTAATAATTCTTGTAAGTTTGGTTTGGTTTTTACATAGTCCCTTAATTTCTTTTTATCTGGAAATGTCCTAATTTCACCATCATATTTGAATGACAGTTTTGCAGGATATATTATTCTTGGCCTGCAATTTTTTTTCATTCAAGGTTTTATATGTGTCATCTCATTGCCTTCTTGCCTGCATGGTTTCTGCCAAATAATCCGAGTTTCATAGTATTGTTTCTCCTCTCTTTGTGACTTTTCTTTTTTCTTGAGTTGCTCTCAGGATTCTTTGTCTTTGGTTTTAGGGAATGTGATTATGATATGCCTTGGTGATTTTCTTTAGGGGTCTACCCTATATGGGGTTCGTTGAGCTTCTTGGATGGTCAGCTTTTCACCTTTCATGATATTGGGGAAGTTTCCTGTCAGCAGTTCTTCAATGATCCTCTCTGTGTTTTCTGTTTTCTCCCCCTGTTCTGTAACTCTGATCACACGTAAATTTTTGCTTTCGATCATACCCGATATAATCTCAGGGTTTCTTCATTTTTAGTCATTCTTTTTTCTGATTCTTCTTGAAACAGAGTTGTATCCAAGTGTTTGTCTTCAATTTCACTGATCCTGTCTTCCACTGTTTCAAACCTGCTCCTCAGCCCTTCTATGACACTGTCCACTTCTGAAATCTTGTTGTTTATCTTTTGGATTTCTAGTTGTTGTTTTTGTATGATTTCTAGTTGTGAATTTATTTTAGCATTTTCCTCCTGTATTATTTTCCTGAATTCTTTCATTTTTTGTCTGTATTATTAATGAATTTATCTGTCATTTCCACGAATTTGTCTATTTTTTCCTCATTTTTGTCTGTTTTTTGCTTCAACTGTTGGATAGCTCTGAATATTAGAGATTTGAATTACCTATCAGGTAGTTCTAGTTACTTTTCTTCTACTCGAAAGTCAACTGGTGTTTTATTTTAGATGCCTGTTGGAAACATCCTGTACCTTTTTTTTAAATACGTTTTAATATTGTCTGTTGTCTTTGGGACATTCAGTGGTTCCTTTCCTCTTTTATCAGCTGTAGATTTGTTTTTCCTGATTTTTTTAAATTTGGTAATACCTGAGCAGGTGGGCCGTGAGTTCTTTGTTGTTTGCTCATTTGTGGGCACGATACTTTTCACCTCCTTCTCCAATGGGTAGGGTCATTTGCTCAGGTATGGTACTTCAGGGCAGGTCCAGCTGAAGGGGAGTTGCGGGGATGGGTTGTTTGTGGCATGTAGTAGGGCTGACGGGGCTGACAGTGTGGTCTGGGAATCAGTGCAAGGCAGGTTCCTGTAGGCCTTGCCTGTGCTGCTTGAGGATGTGATGTTCAGTGCATGGTGCAGGTAGGCAGGAAGGAAGGGGGAGCTTGTGATGTGTGGAGCTAAGATAGGTATGGGAAAGAGGAGAGTGAGGAGAGAGAAACAGGAGCCTAAAACAAACAAAAGACTGCTAAGGGGGCTTGCTGTTGGAGTGGAGAGATGAGAAATGGAGAAAAGCAAAAAGGATGGGGAGGCAGGGAGATGGTTATTCGCTAACCAGATAGTAGACAAGAATTATCTTAGGTGAAGGGAAGAACAACACACACTACAGGAGAAGTCAGCACAACTGGACTAAATCAAAGCTAAGAAGTTTCCTGAATACAACCAAATACTTCAAGGGACAAAGTAGCGGGGGGGGGGGGTCTGGGAATTTTGTTTTCAGGGGACATCTAGGTCAACTGGTATAACAAAGTTTATTAAGAAAATGTTCTGCATCCTACTTTGGTGAGTGGCGTCTGAGGTCTTAAATGCTAGCAGGCAGCCATCTAAGATGCATCAATTTTTCCCAGCCCACCTGGAGTAAAGGAGAATGAATAACACTAAAGACACAAATAAAATATTAGCCCAAGAGCTAGAAAGGGCCACATAAACTAGAGACTGCATCAGCCTGAGACCAGAACAGCTAGATGGTGCCTGGTTACCATCAGTGACTGCCCTGACAGGGAACACAACAGAGAGTCCCTGATCGAGCAGGAGAAAAGTGGGGTGCAGAACTCAAATTCTAGTAAAAAGACCAGACTTAATGGTCTGACTGAGACTGGAGGAACCTCATAAAGCATGACCCCTGGACTCTCTGTCAACTCAGAACTAAAACATTCCCAAGGCCAACTCTTCAGACAAAGATTAGAGTGGACTATGGGTCATAAAGTGATACTTGTGAAGAGGGTGGTTCTTAGCTCAAGTAGATACATGAGATTAAATGGGCAGCTCCTGTCCGGAGGTGAGATGAGAAGGCAGAGAGGGTTAGGAGCTGGTTGAAAGAACACAGGAAATCAGGTGTTGAAAGGAGGAGTATGCTGTCACAGTATAGGGAGAGCAACCAGGGTCACATAACAATGTATATATAAATTTTTGTATGAGATACTAACTTGAATTGTAAACTTTCACTAAAAGTACAACTATAATATAAACAAAAAAGAAAAAAATAAAAATTAGAGGAAAAAGACAAAACCCCCAGGGATCCCACCAGTCTGGCTGTGAAGACTGGGGAAGTGGCTCCCAGGCCGTGAAGTACAGCCTGTTTAGAAGGGGTAGAGGTGTTATACAGCACCAGGTGTTCAGGAGACGAGAAGAGAAGGTAAGAATAGAGAGATGAGAAACTGAGAAATGAAGAAAGACAAAAAGGAAAAAAGAGAAAGAAGAAATGCCCCCAGGGATCCCACTGTGCAGCTGCACAGACTGGGGGAGTAGCTCCCAAGCTGCACAGTAGAGCACGGCTATAAGGGGCTCCCAAGCAAAGAAAAGAAAAAGAAAAGTAACAAACAAACAGAACAAATCAAAACAAACAAACAAAAAATCCCTGGAGAACCCTTCAGCGTGGCGGCACAGACCAGGAAGCAGTTCCACAGTCAAGTAGTGTTTCACAGCCTTTCAAGAAGAAGCAAAGATGGCACATGGAGCCAGGTATTTGAGAGAAAGGAAAGGGAGGTGGTGAGAGGTATGGAAGTAAGCAGAAGAAGTGGAAAAAAGCAACACCAGCAACCAACAGATGGCACTCAGGGAGCTCGCCAGTGTGGGGGGGTGGAACATGTGGCACAGGGCTGAAGCCTGTGCCTCCCTCCAAGAGACTGTGGTCGCAGGAAGTAGAGGAGGCCGAGTTGGGGTGAAGAAGGGTAGGGCATGGGAAAGCTTGTATCGCTGGTTACTGGTTGTTCTGTCTACTTCTGGGAGCTCCATGAAGCTGCTTTCCTGTATGCCCTGTTTTCCGATCTCCAACAGGAGTCCAAGACGGCGAATCTGTGCTGTGTTAGCTGATATAGGACTTCTGTTTGTAACTCTCATTGCTCTCCATTTTCTGTCAATTTCTTATTCCATTCAGTGCTTGGCTTAGTTCTTTATCTCTTCATTTGATGCTTAGGATTACAGGATTGACGTTTGTCTCTGTTTGAATTAGTTTTGGGGATCTTTTTTGTAGAGGGATGGCATGGTGCTTCTGTCTATAGTGCCATGTTGCCTGGAAGTCCAAAGGGGTAATCTTGATAGATTTTCTTGAAGGACACAGAACGATCACTGAGTTTATCATGAAAAAGTTTTAAGAAAATTGAAAACTGCATTGGTGAGAAAAAGCCAGGAAAGTTGCACTGAGGAATTTTTTTCCCTCATGACAATGCACCTGCTTATTCTTTGAGGGTAACAAGGGCCGTCGTATGAGAGTTTCATTGGAAAATTTTACCCTATCCACCCTACAGCCCTGATATTACCCCTTCAGACTTCTTTTTGTTCCAAAAACTCAAAGAACATTTACAAGGAACACGATTTGAGTCCCTCGAGGATGCCAAACCAGCCATTTTGAAGTGGTGTAAATCAAAAAGCACAGAATTCTTTGGTGAAGGGTTACAGAGATTGAAACACCACCTTCAGAAGTGTATAGACATAGACGGAGTATATATCGAGAAACAATAGCTTCACATTTTGGTAGTTTTGTTTGATAAAGGTTTCTATGATTTTGTAGCAATACTTTTTGACTTACCCTCCTATTTGTGTAAAACATAATAGGGATATTTCAGGCATGGTGAGGGGTGAGAGCAGTGGGGGAATGAAGGGAGCATTTTAGGAATTTCCAACATCGTTACAACCTTCTCATTTGGGTGGGTAGGTCTAATATAACCATCAGCTTCCATGCGACCCAGGTAGTCCTTGGCACTGTGGACATTCTGGATGGTAGCCTGGATGGAGCCTCCAGATTTCCAGACACTAACTGTTTCATAAAAGGAGATGATGTTGAAGTAGTTGTTGGCCCACAGGTCACTGAGGATCACATTCACAGTCTTCTTTGTGAGATATGGATGAAGTGAAGGATATGGGGCAAGAATTGGGGTCTATGAGATCAAAGGCTCTTTATATAGAAGGCAATAAAGTCTACATATTGTGTAGTTTTAAGACCCTCTGACTCCGGCACGCTGTGATTCTAAGATTAAAGGACTAAAGGTTCTGTATTTCCAGAGCTTCATGCTCCAAAGTCTAGAACTGCACTGTTCAATATGGTAGCTGATAGCCACATGTAGCTATTTAAATTTAAATGTAGATGGCGAGGCCAAGATAGTGGAATAGTCAGATGCTTCCTGTCTTCCCTCTTACAACAAAGACCCAAAAAAGAAGCGAATTAGATATATATGACAATTTAGGAACCCTAATCATCAAAGACAAAGCTGAAGAATTGGACTGAGTGGCAGGTGGAAGGAGATATAATTCAAAAACAGTGAAACGGGGAATTATGGATCTCAGGATTGCCAGCGTCTTCCTAGGTGAATCTATGCAGCACACTCAGGTTGAGGCAAGCAACAACACCCCAAGCCACCCTATCTGGTGCAACCAAGGAGCAGTGAATATGCACACATCTCCAGAACCAAACAGGAGCGCAACCAGACCTGCGAAAGATAAGTGCAAGCTCCCAACCTACTGTGTACCTTTCCTCCACCAGAGCTCCACAGTAAAGGAGCTATCCCTTCCCCCTACCCATCCTCCTTTCCGCTCCAACACCAGTCTTGCGGCATTCAATAATGTCATGCCCCCTAAGCCAGGACCTCACAGCTGGGTCCAGAGGCTCCAGCTCCTTCTCCCAGCCACAGGTGTAGGGAGTCCATGGACTTGCAGAACCCTTCACCTCTGCCCCAGTGGCATCATTAGGACAACACTTGGGCAGGGCATCCACCTGAAGCCCATTTTCACTTATATCACCCAAGTGGGAGGTGCAGATTTGTGATGTTCAACAATGCTCCACCCCCTAAGAAGGAGCCTCACCAACCCACACCAGGGGCCTCAGGGCCAGTGGTGTCACCCACTCCATCTAGCCGCCCACAACAGGGTTCTGAGAATTACTGGAGCCTCTTAATCCTTCCAGCCAATGGCACTGGGCACACAGGGACTGGCTGCACTACCCCCCCCCCACTACACACTCTAGTGAACAGGAGCATGCTTTCCATCCAGGCACCCAGAGGCAGCGAACAGGATCCTGCTTTGCCACACATATCTCTTCCCACTGCAACCAGAGAACTTTGTCTGCTCAGAACATCTCCAAGCAGCTCTGCCCACCTAGACTATAGGTGACACTCTCCGCACCACACACTCGGTGACAGAAGACCCAGGTACCTGCACCTCAAATAACCACACCCCCTCAAGAACAGTGAACAGACTCCTGGGCTTACATACCTAGTAGTTGCTCCGACCACCTGGAGACAGGAGATGAGATCTTCGACAATGCCAATGAGTCGAGTTACACACATGACCAGCCTACTTGGAAGTAGCAAAACAAAACAAAAATACAGGATGCAGTAAACAAAAATACAGTAAATAAATACAATAACTTATTGATACCTCAGAAACAACAGTCAATATCAAATCACATAAAAAAGCAGGACAAGACGCCTCCAGCAAGCAACCACAATAAAGAACCTGAAAACATTATGGAGGAAGATAAGGCAATGGAATTACCTGATAAAGAATTCAAAAGACTAATATACAGAGCTCTCCAAGAGACCAGGTAGGAGATCATGCAAAACACAGACCAAACGAAGGAACACAGAGACAAAGCAAGAGAAGAACTCAGGAAAACAATACAAGAATAAAACGACAGAATAAACAGGCTGCTAGAAACAATATAGAAACAGCAACTAGAAATCCAAAAGATTAACAATAAAATTTCAGAATTAAACAACTTAGTAGAAAGTCATAGGAGCAGAATTGAGACAATAGAAGTCAGAATTAGTGAGATGAAGATAAATCCCTTGACACCAATTTATTTGAGAAAAAAATCAGAAAAAAGAAAGAAAAAAAATGAAGAAAGCCTAAGAATTATGTGGAATACTATTAAGAGGGAAACACTACAAGTGATCAGAGTACCAGAAGAGGAGGAGATAATGGAGAACACAGAGAGAATTGTTGAAGATCTCCTGGCAGAAAACTTCCCTAATATCATGAAAAAAAGAAAAGATATCTATACAAGAAGCTCAACAAACCCCGTACAGATAGATCCCAAAAGAAAGTCACCAAGACGTATCATAACAGCTCAGATTACTCAGCAGAAACCATGCAGGCAATAGGATGACATATATAAAGCCTTGAAGAAAAAAATTGCCAGCCAAGAACGATATATCCAGCAAAATTATCTCTCAAATACAATGGGGAAATTAGGTCATTTCCAGATAAACGGAAGTTAAGGGAATTTGTAAAAACCAGACCAAAATTACAAGAAATATTAAAGGGAGTCCTCCAATTAGAGAACCAACAACATCAGACAGCAATTCAAGAATAGGACACAGGGCAGATCAACCAGATATCAACCCAGAAAGGGAGTTCACAAAAACAAATCAAAGCTAAAAGACTGAAAATAGGGAACCAGAGACGTCAATATGTAAATGATGATGACATCAAAACAAAAAAGAGGAAATAAACAATGTAGTCATAGAACTTCCATACTTCCATATGGAAAGGAAGTCTAGGCGATATCAAAAAATAAAAGACTGGTTTAAACTCAGAAAGATAAAGGTAAATGTCAAGGTAACCACAAAGGAAGCCAACAAACCTACCTATCAAAAAAAAAAAAAAAGAAGAAGAAAAACATAAAAATTCAGCAAATACTAAACCAACAATAAAGAAAGAGATGAAAAGAAAATACGCAAAAAGAATTCAGCACAGAAAATTAAGCAGAACAAAGAAACCATCATCACCACAAAAAAAGCATCAAAATGGCTGCAGTAAAGTCATAAATATATCAATAATTACATTGAATGTAAATGCCAAAATGCAACAGTAAAGAGAGAGACAGTGGCAGAATGGATTAAAAAAAACTTGATCCATCTATATGTTGTCTACAGAGACACACCTTAGACACAAAGACATAAACAAACTAAAACTCAAAGGATGCAAAAAATATATCAAGCAAACAACAACAAACTAGAGCAGGAGTGGCGATATTAATCTCCAATAAAATAGACTTTAAAGTAAAATCCACTGTAAAGGATAAAGAAAGACACTACATAAAGATTAAAGGATCAATACTCCAGGAAGACATAACCATAATAGATGTATACACACCCAATGACAGGGCTCCAAAATACATAAAACAAACTCTAACAGCATTAAAAAAAGAAATAGACAGCTACACAGTAATAGTAGGAGACATGAACACACCACTTTTGGTGAAGGACAGAACATCTAGAAAGAAATTCAATAAAGATATGGATAATCTAAATGCCACAACCAACCAACTTGACCTCATAGACATATACTGAACACTCCACCCAACAGTAGCTAAGTATACATTCTTTTCCAATGCACATGGACATTCTCCAGGATAGACCACATTTTAGGCCACTAAGCAAGCATTAACAGAATCCAAAACATCAAAATAACACAAAGCATCTTTTCTGAGCATAATGCCATAAAAGTAGAAATCACAGCAAGGAGAAAAATCAGATACATGGAAACTGAAAAACACCTTGCTTAAAAACTACTGGGTTATAGAAGAAATCAAAGATAGAATTAAAAAATTCATAGAATCAAATGAGAATGAAAACATATCTTACCAAAATCATTGAGACAGAGCAAAAGCAGTACTTAGAGGTTAATTTATAGCAATAAATGCACACATCGAAAAAGAAGAAAGGGCCAAAATCGAAACACTAACCCTACAACTCAAACAAATATAAAGAGAGAAGCAAAAGCCCTCATGCACAAGAAGAAAGGAAATAATAAAGATTAGAGCAGAAACAAATGAAATAGAGAATAGAAAAACAATTGAAAGACTCAACATGACCAAAAGTTGATTCTTTGAAAACATCAACAAAAATGGACAAACCATTGGTCAAACTGACAAAACAAAAACAGGAGAGGGAGGAAGCAAAAACCCGAATAAGAAATAAGTGATATCACAACAGATCCAACTGAAATAAAAAGGATCATAACAGAATACTATAAAAATTGTACTCCAACAAATTTGAAAACCTAGAGGAAATAGACAAATTTCTAGAAATACACTACCTACCTAAACTAACACAAACAGGTAGAAAAACTAAACATACCCATAACAAAAGAGATTGAAGAGGTAATAAAAAAAACTCCCAACAAAAAAAGCCCTGTCTCAGACAGCTTCACTGGGGAATTCTACCAAACGTTCAGAGTAGAGCTAACACTAATAATACTTGTCATGGGTTGAATTACGCCCCCCCCCCAAAAATGTGTGTATCAATTTGGCTGGGCCATGATTCCAGGTATTGTGTGATCTTCCTATATGTTGTAAATCCTGCCTCTATGATGTTAATGAGGGAGGATAGGCGGCAGTTGTGTTAGTAAGGCAGGGCTCAATCTACAAGATTGGATTGTGTCCTGAGGCAATCTCTTGAGATATAAAAGAGATAAGCGAGCAGAGAGATGGGGACCTCATACCATCAAGAAATCAGTGCCAGGAGCAGAGTGTGTCCTTTGGACCTGGGGTCCCTGCGTGGAGAAGCTCCTAGTCTGGGGGAATATTGATGAGAAGGCTGACAGAGATAGAAAGATTTTCCCTGGAGCTAATGCCCTGAATTTGGACTTTTAGCCTACTTTACTGTGATGAAATAGACTTCTCTTTGTTAAAGCCATCCACTTGTGGTATTTCTGTTGTAGCAGCACTAGATGACTAAGACACTACTTAAGCTATTTCAGAGCATAGAAAAGGAAGGAATACTCCCAAACTCATTCTACGAAGCCAGCATAATCGTGATACCAAAGCCAGGCAAAGACACCACAAAAAAAAGAAAACTACAGACCAATATCCTTCATGAACATAGATGCAAAAATTCTCATCAAAATTCTAGCCAATAGAATTCAACAGTATACCATACATCATGATCAAGTGGGATTCATACCAGGTGTGATGGTTAAGATTGCATGTCAACTTGACTAGGCCATGATTCTCAGTGTTTTGGCAGTTGTATAATGCTGTGATCACTTCCCTGTTGAAATTTGGTATGTGATCACCCCCATGATGGAGTCTGCTGATTGGTACTGGTGGGCACGTGGCCTGTGGCAGCTGACCACCCCGTCAGCCTTCATCTCTCTGCCCTCCACTGGCTACATCTTTCCTCCTCACCTTGCCAAAGTTTTTGGCTTGTTCCAGACCCACCAGCTGCCTCTTGTCATCTCACCTCCAGTTCTTGGGACTTCAGCTAGCAGCTTACCTGTTGATCTTGGTATTCGTCAATCCTCAAAGCCTGCAAGCAAGAGTCCTGCTTCCCGACCTGCTGATCTTGGGTTTGCCAGCCCCTGCAGCTACGTGAATCAGGAGAAACCTTGCGGTCTTGCCTGCTGATCTTGGAATTCGCCGACCTTCACAGCCTATGAGCGGAAGCCTTGCTCTCTGACCTGCTGATCTTGGGTTCCCCAGCTTCTGCAGCTGCGTGAATTGGGAGAGGCCTTTACCCTGATCCACTGACTTGGGATGTTCTAGCCTCTACAATCGAGTGAGCTGTTTCCTTGATATAAATCTCTCTCTGCATATATTTATACACTTTACTGGTTTTGCTTCTCTAGAGAACTCAGCCTAAGACACAAAGTATGCAGGGATGGTTCAACATTAGAAAATCAATCAATGTAATCCACCACATAAATAAAATGAAAGAAAAGAACCACATGATCTTGTCAATCAACACAGAAAAGGCATTTGACAAAGTCCAACACTCATTCCGGATTAAAACTCTTAGTAAAATAGGAAGAGAAGGAAAATTTCTCTACATAATAGGGCATTTATACAAAGCCAACAACCAAAATCATTCTAAATGGAGAGACTGAAAGCATTCCCCTTGAGAAAGGGAACCAGACAAGGATGCCCTATATCATCACTCTTACTCAACATTGTGACGGAAGTCCTAGCTGGAGAAATAAGGCAAGAAAAAGAAATAAAAGGGTATCCAAATTGGTAAGGAAGAGGTAAAACTATCCCTATTCGCAGATGATATGATCTTATATACAGAAAACACCAAAGAATCCACAAGAAAGCCACTGGAACTGATAGAAGATTTCAGCAAGGTATCAGGATACAGGATTAACATACAAAAATCAGTTGGATTCCTCTACACCGACAAAGAAAGCTTCGAGAAGGAAATCACCAAATCATACCATTTACAATAACCACCAAGAAGAAAAGTGCTTAGGAATAAATCTAACCAGGGACGTAAAAGACCTATAGAAAGAAAACTACAAAACACTACTGCAGAAAAGCAAAAGAGAACTACATAAGTGGAAAAACATACAATGCTCACGAATAGGAAGACTCAACACTGTGAAAATATCAGTTCTACCCAAAGCAATCTACAGATACATTGCAATCCCGATCCAAATTTCAAGGCATTCTTTAATGAGATGGAGGAACAAATCACCAACTTTATATGGAAAGGGAAGAGGTCCTGGAGAAATAAAGCATTACTGAAGAAGAAGAACAAAGTGGAAGGCCTCACACTGGCTGATTTTAGAATCTATTATACAGCCACTGTAGTCAAAACAGCCTGGTACTTGTACAACAACAGACACAGAGACCACTGGAACAGAATTGAGAACCCAGACGTAAATCTATCTATGAGCAGCTAATATTTGACAAAAGCCCAAAGTCCATTAAATGGGGGAAAAGACAGCCTCTTTAACAAATGGTACTGGTATAACTGGATGTCCATCTGTAAAAAAATTGAAACAAGAGCCATACCTCACACCATACACAAAAACTAATTCAAAATAGATCAAAGACCTAAATATAAAACATAAAATGATAAAGGAGCTGGAAGAAAAAAATAGGGACAATGCTAGGGTCCCTAATATACAGCATAAATAGGATATAAACCATAACTAACAATGCACAAACACCAGAAGAGAAACTAGGTAACTGGGAGCTCCTAAAAATTAAATACTTGTGCTCATCAAAAGACTACACCAAAAGAGTAAAAAGAACACCTACAGACTGGGGAAATTTTTGGGCTACGACGTATCCGACAAGAGTCTAGTCTCTAAAATCTACAAGACACTTCCACTCCTCAACAACAAAAAGACAAATAATCCAATTAAAAAATGGGCAAAGGACATGAACAGACACGTCACCAAAGAAGACATTCAGGCGGCTAACAGACACATAAGGAAATGCTCTCGATCATTAGCCATTAGAAAAATGTAAATCAAAACTACACTGAGATACCATCTCACCCGGACGATACTGGCACTAATCCAAAAAAAACACAAAATAACAAATATTGGAGATGTTGCTGGGAGATCGGAACTCTTATGCACTGCTGGTGGGAATGTAAAATGGTACAACCATTTTGGAAAACGATATGGTGCTTCCTTAAAAAGCTAAAAACAGAAACATCATACTATCCAGCAATCCCACTCCTAGGAATATACCCTAGAGAAATAAGAGTCATCATACGAATAGACATATGCACTTTTCACAATAGCAAAAAGATGGAAACAACCTAAATGCCCATCAACAGATGAATGGATAAACAAATTATGGTACCTCCACACAATAGAATACTATGCAATGATAAAGAACAATGATGAATTCCTGAAACATCTCACAACACGGATGAATCTGGAGGGCATTATGCTGAGTGAAATAAGTCAGTCATGAAAGGACAAATATTGTATAAGACCACTATTAGAAGAACTGAAGAAAAGGTTTAAAACCAAAAATCAAAACCTATTGCTGTTGAGTCGATCCCTATACAACAGAATAGAACAGCCCCATAAGGTTTCCAAGGAGTGGCTGGTGGATTTGAACTGCTGACTTTTTGGTTAGCAGCCAAGCTCTTAACCAATACATCACCAGAGCCCCAAGAAAAGGTTTATACACAGTAAAAAAAAATTCTTTGATAGCTATGAGGGTGGGGAGGGTGGCAGGGGAAATCACTAGATAGTAGACAAGTGTTAACTTCGGTGAAGTGAAGGACAACACACAATATTGGGGAAGTCAGCACAACTGGACAAATGCAAAGGCGTAGAAGCTTCCTATAGCGACCCTATAGAACTACCCCATAGGGTTTCCAAGAAGCCGTTGCTGGATTCGAACTGCTGACCTTTGGGTTAGCAGTCCTAGCTCTTAACCACCGTGCCACCAGGGCTCCAGAAGCTTCCTAGACACATCCAAACACTATGAGGGACCAAGTAGCTGAGGGCAGGGGGCTGGGGACCATAGTCTTGAGGAACATCTAGGTCAATTGGCATAACATAGTTCATAAAGAAAATGTTCTACATTCCACTTTGGTGAGTAGCGTCTGGGGTCTTAAAAGCTTGTGAGAGGCCATCTAAGATACATCTACTGGTCCCATCCCATCCGGAGCAAAGGAGAATGAAGAAAACCAAAGACACAAGTTAAATATTAGCTCAAAGGACTAAAGGACCACATGAGCCAGAGACTCCACCAGCCTGAGACAAGAACTAGATGGTGTCTGGCTACCACCAACGACTGCTCTGACAGGGATCACAACAGAGAGTCCCAGACAGAGTGGGAGAAAAATGTAGAACAGAATTCAAATTCATGAAAAAAATACCAACTTACTGGTCTGACAGAGACTGGAGGAATCTCTAAAACTATGGCCCCTGGACACTCTGCTAACCCAGAACTGAAATCATTCCCAAAACCCACTTTTTAGACAAAGATTAGATAGGCCTATAAAAAACAAACAAACAGAAAAAAACACGTGAGGAACGCGTTTCTTAGTTCAATCAAATATACGAGACCAAATGGGTAACTCCTGTCCAAAAGCAAAAAGAGAAGGCAGGAAGGGGCAGCAACTGGACGAACGGGCACAGGGAACCCAGGGTGGAAAGAGGGAGCATGCTGTCACATTGTGGGGATTGTGAACAATGTCAGAAAACAGTATGTGTATAAATTTTTGAATGAGAAATTAACTTGAGCTGTAAACTTTCACCTAAAGCACAATAAAAAAGACTCCCCTCCAAAATAAATTAATAAAAAACATTTTAACGTAAATTATTTAAAATTAAGTAAAAATTTAAAAATTCAGTTCTTCATTTGCAGTAGCCACATTTCAAGTGCTCAATAGTCACATGTGCTAGTGGCTACCATATTGGACAACACAGAATTTTAGAACATTTTCATCATCAATAAAGTTCTAATGGACAGTGCTGGTCTAGAGAGTTCAATCTCCATTCTTTCAGAGCCCTATGAACCATGTGTTCTATGGTTCCTGAACCCTATGACCCAGGATTCAATGATTCCAGGACCCTAAAGTTTAAGAGCTTTATGATTCCAGATCTTTATAGCTGCCTTTCAATGACTTTGCATACTTTGGTTCTGCTGCATCTAATCTGTTCTACCACACTTTCTGTTTCTGCCAGGCTAATCTTCTCACCAACCCCCAGATGACCCAGATTCCATCCTCTCTATAACTTTACTCTTGTGTGGCCTTCAGATAGAATATCCTCCCCCTTTACTTATTCATATCTTCTGTTCTTTCTGTTGATAATTCTCCAGGAAGCCCTTCCTTGAGTTGCCTACTCTGACCTATGCTCTTGTCACCCAGACGTTCCCTGTCCTGGACTGTTCTATAATTGTCTTATGATGTAATATTTTCATTCTTCATCCAGATATGGAGCTCTGTGAGAACAGGCTTAGAATACATCTTCCTCTTGGCTCCCTCCTCCATGGCGTCAATTAGAATGGGGTCAGGCACATAGAAGATTCACGGAATAGGGTATGTATGTCCTAGTATTGGGTACCATCTATAGAACACTTGCTATGTTCCAGGTACTGTGCTAAGTACTTTAGCTGCATCAGTTCATTTAATCTGCACATAATAATGAAGAAGGTATTAATACTATTCCCATTTTTCAGGTGATGACACTGAGGCTCAGAGAAGTGGAGTGAATTGCTCAAGTTCACACAGCTAGTCATTGGTGGATCAGGGACTCAAATCCATATCTGGATGGTGTTAAACAATGTACTCCTAAAAGCACAATGCTATACATTCAAACATTTAGAAAGATATGAATTTCAGAGACCACAAAAAGGACACTTGTGGCCTACCTTTCTCTGTATCTTCATCTGCTAGATGACTTGAATGCTTCTAGTGGATCAGAGAGTTTCCTGCCATAGGGAGAGCTCAGGGGATAGGTCACACATCTGTGGACAGTAAGATGAGAACCATATCCTTCTTTCCATTGAAAGAGCTGACTTAGAGGATGGTCTTTCTTTGAGAACATCAGGAGAAAGGTAAGAGCATATGGGAGCCTAGAAGTTAGAATTTCCCATCAACCAGGGACAGATTCTGTTTTTAAAGGCCCTTAGGTCCTGTTGTTTCATGCTACCAGGGCTCTAAGTCAAAGACTTGATCATTCCAGAAACATGTGGCCAAAAGAAAGGTATTTCCCCAGACTTGTTTCATTTCAGGCCTCTATGCTTTCAAACTTGTAAGATACATGGACTCTGTGCTTTCAGAAATGGATATCCCCAGATCTCTTTTGTCTTAGGATTCTGTGTATCAGCGACTCCAAAGTCCAAGATCTCCATGGCCCCAGGACACAGTTTTGGGGAATCTATGGTAACGAAGTCCAAAGGTCCAAAGTCTCTCTTTCCCTCGGATTCCCTGTCCTCTGGGATCCAAGGACAATCTGAGTTTCAAATGTGAAAATGAGATGTGGTCAGAGGATTCTACAGCTCAAGACTTCTCTGGTTCCTATACCTGTATCCACTGCCATCGAGTCACTTCTGACTCACAGAGATCCTATAGGACAGAGTACAACTTCCCCATAGGGTTTCTGAGGCTGTAATCTTTATGGAAACAGACTGTCACATCTTTCTCCCATGGAGCAGCTGGTGGGTTTCAATCGCCAACCTTTCGGTTAGCAGCTGAGTGCTTAACCACTGCACCACCAAGGCTCCTTCTCTGGTTCCTAAGCTCTTAAATTTCCTGGCTTTAAAGTCCAAGAGCTCTAGGGTTCACTGTCTGTGAGGTTTCAGGAGTCTCTGTGATCATGACCCTTAGGTCTTATGGAATTATGGTTCCAGACTCTAAGGTCAATGTATTCTGTGGCCTCAGAGCTCTATCTTCAAGAGCTTTATGATTCCATGTTTCTAGATTTTCGTGAATCTAAGGTCTAGGTCTTTATGGTTCAAGGTCTCTTTGACTCCGAGATTCAAGGATCATATGTTCAGCTGCTCCGTGCACAGGATCATATAACTTCATTGCTCTAGAGCAGGAGTCAGCAAACATTTTCTGAAAGGTCCAGATAGTAACTATTTTAGGCTTTTATTACTGTATGATCTCTGTTGCAACTACTCATTTCTGTCCTTATGGTGCAAAAGCAGCCATGGACAATACATAAATAAATGAGTATGACAGAGATACAATAAAACTTTGCTTATCAAACTAGATGTTGAGCTGGATTTGGCTCTATGGCTATATTTACTGAACACTGCAATCTAAAGGCTCTAGCTGTAGTCTCCCTAGTTCCTGCACGACATGGATACAGGATTCTAAGATAAAAATCACTCTTGTTTGATTTCATAGGTATATAATTTGAGTGTCTTAAGTTCAAATGCAAGTGTCCTAAGTTCAGAAGGAGCCCTGGTGGTGCAGTGGTTAAGAGCGCAGCTGCAAACCAAAAAAGGTCAGCTGTTCGAATCTACAAGCTGCTCCTTAGAAAACGTGTGGGGCAATTCTACTCTCTCCTATACAGTTGCTATCAGTCAGAATCGACTTGACAGCAACGGGTTTGGTTGTTTTTTTTTTTTTTTTTTGTTAAGATCAAATGACTGTATGGCTCAGAAACTCTAATGTCCATATGCTCCACATTTAATATGACTTCAGAATTCTATGACTGTAGCACTAACTGATTCCTAGGTGCTAAGTTGTCAAGGGCCATATTATTTCAAGCCCCTATATTTTTGAGGAAATTATGATCATTGTGCACTATGTTCTAACGGATCAGTGGCCTCAGGACTCTATGATCCCAAATTCTGAATTCCACAGACTTTATGATCCCAGGGCTTTGAGATTTCAAGGCTCTATGTGGTCCAAGGGTCCTAGATTTCCAGAGTTTTAAGGTTCAGTAACTTTCCGAGGTCTTTACACATCCAGGTCCACATGTAAAAAATGTAATGGATCCTGGATCCTGTAGCCTTGTATCCCAAGGACATAGTGTCTCAATGGCCTTAAGGTCCAACGGCTGCACTGTCACTGGACCCTAAGACCTTATCATTTTAGAGCCCCAAAAGACTATGGTTTGAAAACTCTGCGTCCAGAACTTTATGGGTTCAGGCTCTAAAGTCAAAGCCTCTTTGGATGCTGGACCATAAGGCCAAAGGGGTCTATGGCTCCAGTATTCTGATTCAAGGTTGCTCTGGTAGAAGGGTTACAAGATTCAAAGTCTCTATGACCCCAGAACTCGATGTTTTCTCAACCCTACAATTCCAGTGTGCAGTACTGATTGATAGGCCTTTGAAGCCAAAGAACCTGTGGCCTCAGGAAGGTTCAGAGTCTCTAATGCCTAAGGTATTTTGGGTTCAGGATTCTATGATGTCAGGGCTCTCTAGCTTGAGGGTTCTATGACCCTAGGCCCCTAGGAACCCTGGACTTTTGTGGTGACAGGTCTCAAAGTCCAGTGTCTCAATGTTCCTGGGATTCTGTGGCTGTAGATCTACACGGCTCCTGTTGTACCAGGTTCCAGGACCCTAAGGTAACCCCAGGCCTGTGAGACTCAAGGGTAAGGGGATGGCAGGGTTTCTGGGCCCAGGGCCCCATTATTCTAGCACCTTCTGCTTTCTGTGCCTCCTATTTGCAGGGCTATGGAAGGCCTCCAGTGTCCTTGTTACCTGCTTCATCTTGGTACCAAACATAGAGCCGCTCACATCTATAACAAAGACCACGTTTTTCTCCACAGGTGGGAGGCCTCTGGAGGCAAAGTAATGAATAAAAAAGCCATTGTAAACCTGGACAAAAAGAAGTGAAACCAAGAAAGACTGTGAAAGCCAATCTAAATTAGGTTCTCTCTTATTCTCCTTCTTAACGCCCTGTTCTTTAAGTAGGCATTTGTGTGATTGTTTGTTCAAGGTCCTGGCTCCTCCATCAAAACTCTGTCTCTGCTGTTCAGCCTGTCAGCCTGCCCCACAGCTGTGGGGTGAATGAGACTTGCTCTTGGCTCAGGGCTCCAAGGTTCAGGATCTCTGTAATATGTGAGTTCCTGTCTGTGAGAAAGCTGGGCTTGGACTGCCTTGGGAGTCCCCAGGGACATTTTGCCTGGGCTCCAGGAACTCTAAGTATTGTTTTAACCTCCCTCTATAGAGTGAGCATGGGGCCCAGCTCCAGTCCCTGCCAGGGGCTGGGAGTTTGCAGGGCCTCTCTCCTCCTTAAGCCTCCTCTCTGCTGTTGCTGGGCAGAGCAGAGAGGGAGGAGGGAGCAGAGGTGAGGGAGCTGTCTGCTTGGAGGGGATTGGTTAGACAGGGTACAGATGCCTTGGGGTATCATGGATGTGATTGGCTACTGACACCCCCTCCCTTTCCCAGGTCATCTCTCCCTCAGCAGAGTCTGGGGCTGGGACAGCTAGGGAAGGGTAGGGGGTGATGGGAGGATCCCTCAGGACCAGTATCAGCTCAGCCCCTGAAGCTTGAATCAGGCTCTGCCCAGGGGCAACCAGCTTATCTTCTCCTCTGCCCCTCAGGCACTCTCGGACCACAAGGCTGGACACTCCGGCTTCTCCTTCTCCCTGAAGAGGAAAGGAAAATTCGGAGGACATGGTGCTCTTCGCCTCCACCCCACCTTTGCACTAGGTCACATGTGCATGTGCAGTCTCTGTCTCCCCTTTCTCCTGGCACTCTGTAACAGCTTCCAAGGGCCTGGGCTACCCACCCTGCAACTGCCCAAGCAAGGGCAGAGCCCCAGTCGGCCTCCTGTGCTCCTCCCATATCTGGGCAGGTGAGAGCTGCTGGGAAAATCACATGCCTACCCATCCATGGTCCCAGCCCTGCCTGGTGCCCCAACTTCATATCCCATACCCCATGGCATGTCCCTGTTCACCAACCACTTACACTCCCATCAGCAGTCACTCCAAACCTTCACCTCGCCACTTCACCTGCCCCACCACCCACCTCTCAGGTGATGCCTCACCTCCTGCCTCATCAAGAAAGCTGAGAGCACCAGGCCACATGCCCACTGACAGCCCACCCCACCCTTGCGTGGCGGTACACATACCCACATACCTATTCCCCCTGTTTAAGGCCAACACAGTGCTTCCCTGAACCCAGGGCACTCCCAGCCCCCAGCACCCACTCCACCATTCAGGCCCTTTCTCTACAACGACCAGCCCCCCAACACACACACTACTGGGTCTTCCATTCTGATTATAAACCGGTTTGTAGTTTTTCCATCCACTAAAGCAACCCCCCTTGTTCCCACATCCCACCCAAACTTCCAACAAGCCTCTCTTCTCCTCTTGGCATCCCGTGGTAATGACTCACCCCTGCAATGCCTTCTCACCTTCAATTCCCTTCTTAGGACTTCAAAGACTGGCTCCATCCCCACCACTACACTGACACTATTCTCCTACGAGAAACAATGACTAGTTTGTTTCCAAACTCAGTTGGTGCATTTCCATTCTCATCATACTGCACCTCCCTGGTGTCTTTCACAATGGACCATCACTTCTGCTTTCTTCAGAAATCCCTTTGCTGGGATCCTGAGACGGTGAACTCGCCTTGTGATTTGCCACCTCTCTGGCCCATCTGATTCAGTCTCTTTCACGGGATCCCCTTCCTCCACCTGCCCCTTACCAGTGCTTCCCAATATTTTTCTTGTCAGGGAACACGAAGACATTGATTATGTTGGTGCAGCGCAACGGAGTAAACAGTGGGGATGGACTGAGGTGTCCTAGGCAGGCTGTTGGCAGTCAGTGGGGATGGAAGCAAGAGTGCCTCAGGCCCTACCTGAGCGCCCTGAGGGCTAAGGAGATCAGTAGCTGCATTGCCACCCTGGATCTTCCTCTTCTCCCTCTGCATATTCTCCCTGGGTCACCTCACTCATGCACTTTGGTTTCAACCACTGAGTCTCCTCTGCTCCTGACCCCCACATCTCTTTCTCCAGTCCAGTCCTGGCCACTCTCCCCCTCCCGAACTGCGTGTCCATTCTGTCAGACCTGTTTACCTGGAGGTCTGAAGATGCCTCCAAAGCATCCTGACCAAACAAGGAACTCATCATCTTCCCCCCACCCCCACCCACCCTGCCCTTGTATTCCTTTCTCATTTGGGGCACCGCCATCCACCTGGTCACCCCAGATGCAAACCAGAGTGTTGCCCCTGACTCCTCCTGTGCACCAGTCTCCTCACATCCAATCAGCCCCCAATTCCTCCTGGGTTTACCTGCTGGATACGTCTCAGGTCCACCCCTCCTCTCCATCTCAAACTACCAAAGCTCAAGCTCAAGCCTTATTTCTCTCAGGTTTCCCGGCTTCCAGCACTGGCCCTCACATCCATGCTTCTTCCCACCAGCTGCCGGGCCTTTCTAAACACAAACCTCACAATGTCATTCCCTCTCATGACGCCCTGGGCACCTAAGGATAAACCCCGCGTTCCTTATGATGACCCCTGGTACTAGCCTACCTTCAGTCTCATCTCTAGCCATTTCTTGTGACTCAAATCAATGCCCCAGGAATGACCACCCATCTTTACTTCCCTACACACGCCTGGATATTTCTCGCCTCCATTCCTTCTGTCATGCAGTCCCCACTTTGCTGGAATGCCTTCCCTTTCCCACAGGGCTCCCTCACTGGGAAAATTTCTTTTCATTCTTGAACACCCAGGTCAGCCTTCGCCTCCTTCAGGGAGCCTTCCCTCACCACCTTCTTCTCTCCTCCTTACAGCTTCCATCATACCTCATGTTGTCATTGAAAGAGCACTTCTCATGTTGTGTTCATGTTCTCTGTTTTCCCCCATAGACTGTAAATAGGATCTGCCTGTGAGTCACTAGACGGTTCCCAACGTCAGCCAGCACTGGGCATGACACAGATTAGGTGTGCAACGAGTACCGACTGAATGAATGAAGGAGTGGATGTGCTGGGCTTTGAACGATGGGGCCGACTGAAGTAGGCAATGGGGAGTGAATTGAGAGGTTCTTGATGGGGTGACAGCAGGAACCAGGGCACGCAGTGGATGGGAGTGTCAGTTATACTATTTAATGCCTAATTCCATCTATTCTAGCTATATTTTGACACCAGGTGATTGTGGAAAAGGTAAAGAATGAGAAAGCAGGTGAATGCCCCAGCTAACTAAACACACCCTTATGACAGAACACCTGGTTTAGGTCCTTGTTGTCAGGGTACCCTCAGCTCCTATTCTGGCAGGGTGAATTACTTGTATTCCCCTTACACAGCAGGCTGTTTCATACCTCGGTGTCTTTGCACATACCGTTCCCTCCCTCTGAGTGCCTTTCCCTTCATCACCTTATCCACCCTGGTGGAGGTGAAATCTTATTCATTTCTTCCCATCCTAATTTAAAGACCAGCTCCTTTATGAAGACTTTCCTGAAACACCCCCCACCCCCACCGGTGTCCCTACATAACCCATTACAGATTTCTGCACAGCATCTAGAACATTCTATGACTGCTACTGGTTTATGTGTCTGGCTCCTGCAGGACTGTGAGATTCTGGAGAGAGAATCTGCCTCCCTAGACTGTATCCAACTCAGTTCTGAGTTCCAGAAGTCAGTGAGTGCAGAACTGTGCCCAGAGTAACTCTGCTCATGTGTTAAAGTTTGAATGGATGAATATGTGCATGGAGAAAGGTTTAGCCAAAGCATCATTTTAGCCCCAGGCAGAGACAGGAGTTGCGAGTGGGGTGGGGTCATTAGGGACGTGGCATTTAAGGACAAGGAGGACGCTGACCAGTGGAGAAAGGAGGAAGAAGACATTCCCAAGGGCGTAGATGGTATGAGTAAACGCTCAGACGCAGATCGGTGGCAGGTTCAGGTGCTTTGGAAGAAAGGCTGTGGTGTGGTGTGGGGCAGCTGGAGGGTGATTTGTGTGCTTAGAGTAGTGGGAGGTGTGGCTGGAAAGGCAGGTTGGGACCAGGCGTCTTAGGCTGCCAGGGAATCGTCCTCTTCAAGCCACGGTCTTTGGCTCAGTGCTGTGGGCAAGGGGCACAGCCCTCTGGCAGGCCATGGGACCACTGCACAATCTCCACGAGTGTGTGAGCTCACAATTTACAGGCTTCCTGTTTATGCACATGGCTCCACTGAAGCAAAAATAATTTTTTAAAAACTAGAGAGAGCAGGAGAGTCCAAGACAGCCTCGGCGTATTAGAGCTGCATAAAGCATGAGAGCCCATGAGTGTGAGAGAGCAATTACTGGCCAATGGTCCACTGTGAAAAAAGAATCGTTAAGATGGGCCATGACTTGATTCAATCGGGAATGGGCTCATTTGGAGCGTGATTCAGTGTATACAGTTTCAGGTCTCCAACCCTTTTAGGGAGCAGATGTGCCTCCCAAGCTGTAAAGCCGTGTGTCTCTGCACATCATCCTATCAGTGTTCCCTAGACCTCTGGTATCCTCGGGGAGAATCACATGAGCAACCTGTAGAGGCCAGATCATTGCCTGTCGGACTCCAAAGCCCAAGCTCTTTCCACTTCTCCAGGCCCCTCACCTGCACATCTCCAATGATGTCCTCCATGACCACATCATACTGCACCACGAAGTCTGACATAATGCCTGAGCTGGAGAAGGCTGACTGGTCTTGCAGTGATGGGTAGAAGGTGATAGGAGCACAGGTCTCTCCCCTCTCGATCCTGGTGAATGGGGGCAAGTCAGCTTCACCTGTATGAGTGAGCTGGGGTACCATGGAGGGCTCACCGGACAAACCAGGGAAAGGGACAGTGAAAGGGTGAGAAGTCTAACCCCTCCTACCACCTGCTGCTCCTCCTGCCTACAATGCCCTCCCACCTGCCCAAGTGCCACCCTCCTCTCCAAGTCCTCCAAACAGCTCCTGCCCTGCCTTCTCCGGAAAGCCCAGCCCGACAGCACCAACCCTCCCTTCAGCCCCCTGCCTATGGCAGTCTGATCCTCACTCACATCCTCACCCTAGGCCACCTCCCATCCACCCCAGGGCCCAATCTCTGACCTTCTAGTCCTGAGGGCTGTCATGTCTGGAGATAGAGCAGGAGACTGGGTCTGCCGCCAGAGAAGCAGTGTGGTGCATGTTTGGAGAGAGACAGACACACAGACAGGACTTAGGTCTCCTCCCATAGCCCTTACTGTTGTGGGAAATAGCACAGCCCAGCAAGGGTGTCCTCTGGGCTAGAATTTCATGTTTTCTTCCCCTCTGCCTTCTGACTCTCAGAATCACGTGTGTGAAACAACCTTTCAGTGTCTCATGAAATTACAGATGAATTTCTGGTCCTGGACGTTTGCTGAGCTGGCCACAAGATCAACTCCTCCTGGAATTTTAGTTCCAGAAAAATGTCTGTTCAGACATGTCTGCGTGCCTCCTTTTATTCCAGAAAACAGAAACTTGGGAATTCTGCTTTCCCCCACCCCCCTTCATGCTACAGCTGTCAGGAAGCTTAGGGGCAAAGGAGACCCATACTCTCTGCTGTGCCTGTTTACATACATTCTCTTGGCTTCCTTCCTCTCAGAGGTCTTTGTTCTGTTTTATCCCCACAGGATTGCTGCAACCCTCTGTTTTAACCTTTAAGGAGAAGCAGGGAGGGAGCTGCCATTTATAGCTTAAGGCTTAAGAGTGAGAGCTCCAAGGATTCAGATGACCTGTGGCCCCAGTTCCGTGCTGCTGACTATGTGACCCTGGACAAGTTATTCACGCTCTCGAAGCCTCAATCTCCTCATCTGTAATCCAAGATTTTAAGAGCTCTTATTGCATACATGGTGGTTGTAGGGATTAAATTAAAAGCATTTGACACCATACCTGGCTCTTAACTAAGTGCTCAGTCATGTTAGCTAATGCAATTATCATCAAATCCTCATTGCTCTGCACCAAATGTTTGGAGGGAGGAATTATCTGAAATTCTCACAGTGTCCCTGGGCCGGAGATGCCATTTCCCCCATTGCACAGATGGAAAAAATACTGAAGCAGACTAGTTGGGTGTCTTCTCTAAAGTCCCATGTTAGGGGAGTGTCAAAGCTTGGATTTGAACTCAGGTCTGTGTGTCTGTCTATCTCTCTCCATTATATACACCACACTGCCTCTCTGGGTCAGCAGTAGGGTCAAATTTGTCATGATCTCCAATGCTAAACCGCTTTGTAAGTGTGGCCATATGAGGTCGGTGGTTTCTCTGTGCCTGTCCAATCAGTCTCTCTGAAGAGGTGGGTAAGCCACTCAGTGGTTCCTCAACCTGGCTGGGCTTCAAGTTCACCTGGAAACTGCAAGACAGATTCCTTGGTCCCACCCCAACTCACTGAACCAGACTCCACAACGATGCGATTCAGGACTGTGTAATTTTAAAGGTCGTGGTGATTTTGATAAAGCCAGTCTCTAGTACTGGCCTTTGAAAACCTCTTGATGAAATTCAAGTAAGACTGGCAGCCAGGACACCTCTCATCTACAGTGTCTTTGACAGATCTTCAAGGGCCTCCCACACTTCACACTGTCTTATTCTCTTCCGTTCTCAGTGGTGATTCCAGGGAAAAGCAAGATTGCCCAGCATGGCTTCTACCACCTCCAGCATTGTTAATACATGACTTCACCATGCCCACCCAACAACCGATCATTCTACCCATGTGGGTTTTTTTAATTTGTTTAAATTAGAGAAACCAAGACTGTGGAATGTTATCTGACATACCAGGTTCACACCACCTGAAAAGGCCAGACCAGTGTTGGAACCCAAATATCTCCAACTTCAAACATGAGCTTTTCTCACTCTGAGTGGGGAAGGGATTTGGAGGTAAGCACAAGGCAGAAGTAGCACTAGAATGAAGCCCAGAGGAAAAGGTCATGTTCCCATCCAGGGAAGGATAGTTCTGTTGATTGACCTATGGTGCTGTCCCCGTACTTGCATGGGCCCTCGTGAGCAAATGGCTGGTCGTCAGGGGTGGCACGTTCACGTAGGCAATGCCTGTCCTTTCTGACACTGTGATCTCTACGCTCATCCTTGTCACCAATTGGTCAGGCCTCAGGCTCACCACCAGCTGGTACTGGCCCTGGTGCCGCTGCAGCAGTTCGCAGGCCAGGGGAAATGTTACCACCATGCCTGCTGCCAGGCTGGTGGAGCTGTGGTACTTTTCTGACTCCTGGTCCCTGGGCAAGAAAGAGAAGAGAGCAGGAAGGGCATGGGATCTCATAAAGTTTAGGGGAATTGTTAGATGACCTGTCTCTGCCCTCTCCAGCCCTTTTCTAAGCAGACATGGCCAGGTCTCTGGTTCAATGTCTCATGGACAATCAATCCCTAAGTCATTAGTCCAGTCAGTCATTCACACATTCACCCAATCAACCTTCCTCCCTCCCTCATTCATCCTCAGAAATATTCTGCTGGAGAAATTATATCACAGACAGCTCACTTTTAAGGAAATCCAGTTTAGAGCAGAATAATTAAAGACTAATAATTTGTTTTACCAAAAGTTTTTTTCAATTTACACAAAATGCATCTTTCCCTTCAAATAGCTCCTCACATCCACCACTCCTCCATGCTTTAAATTGAACTTGTTTATAAGGCTTTAACTTTTCCATATGCAGTAGCCAAAGCCTAAAGTTCACGTGCTTGATGAAACTTTTTGGAAGGTGGGAGGAAACATTGAGGGAAGACAATGCATTTCTGCCGGCAAAATGGAACTCAATTAAGACACAGTATTTAAATTAGAAAAATCTCACTTGCACATAACCTTTCTGAAAGGTGGCAATTCTTAAGTAAGCCACATCCTGTGGCAGGAGGAAAGTGGTAATGGGGAAGTGAACTCCGATTTATTGAACATCTACTGTATTGCAGGCTTTGATATTCGTTAACTCACATTATCTTCATGTAATCTGATGAAGTAAAGATCATTGTTCCTGTTATACAGAGGTAGAGACTGAGGTCCGGAGAGAATGCCTTTTGTCCCTGATCACACAGACAAGATGAATTTGTCAGGTTTCAGACTGGATGGAGCCTTACTGGATGCCTACATGAGCAGCTGTCTTTCCCTGTTGATTGTCTTCCTCATATATTTTCTTTGCCTGGTGCTTCTCTTTGACTTCTGCAAGGTAAACTTTATTACTGATGGTCCTGATGGAGCAGGAAAGAGGAATGGACAAACAGAGACAGAAAGAAAAAAAGAGATGGCCAGAGCCATAGAGAGAGACTTACAAAGAAGGAGAAGGAGGAGGATGGGGGATGGGGAGAGAAAAGAACAAAATAGTGCCTTAAAGCCAGAGAGCAGGAGCAAGCAAGGAGAGGAGAATAGACGGAGAAAAAACCAGGTGACATAGTTTCATTATCTCCATTTGTCAGATCAGGAAATAGAGACCACACTGTAGGCATATGGTGGACCTCATGTTAGGACTTTGTCTTTCCCGAAGTGTTGAATGACTTCCATTTTTTGACACACAAATTAATTTTAGGTGGGACACAACTGAACATTTTTATTGTAATTGTTATGTACTTACTATAGTGTGTATTAAAATATAACTAGCATATTTAACTCATGATTTCACAGATATTGCTAGTTAGGTTAAGGCTTACGTAGACTACCTTAAAAAGTCTACCTATTCAAAGAAAATATATTAAGTAAATCGGAAACTCTGGCGGTGTAGTGGTTAAGAGCTACGGCTGCTAACCAAATGGTCGGCAGTTCGAATCCGCCAGGCGCTCCTTGGAAACCCTATGGGGCAGTTCTACCCTGTCCTGTAGGGTCACTATTGAGTCAGAGTTGACTTGACAGCAACGGGTTTGGTTTTTGTTTTTGTTTTTTTTATATTAAGTGAATAATTTGGTGGGTGGTATAGGTGGTATGCAAATTGTTGCAAAGGCTGCTGGGTCTAACTGGGAAAGCAGCCTTGCACTCAGGGAGCTCAGATAATGACGAGGCACAAACTCAGACTTGTTTACTCCCATTTTCCCCATTTCTTTAAGGAAGATAATAAAATGTTTAGGAGTTCTAAGAAGGGAGAGAACATTTTTGGTCAAGTCTTCAAGAAAGGGTCCTAGAGGAGGTGGCCTTGGAGCTGGGCCTGAAAGATGGGGGGGATTTGGATAAATAATCCTCACTGGCCATGCCTTCTCAGTCTCCTTTGCTGGCTCCTTTTCTACCTGACCTCTAAATCTTTGGAGAACACTCCAAGGCTCTGTTCTCTATCTCTTCTCCCCTCCCCTCCCCTACCTTCCCCTCCTTGTCCCTGTCCCTTCCCCTTCTCTGTTCTTTCTACATTCACTCTCTATGTGATATCGACTAGCCCCATGGCTTTGAATATCATTTATACACAGGTGGCCAAGTGGTAAGAGCTACATCGGCTAACCAAAAGGTTGGCAAGTTCGAATCACCAGCTGCTCCTTGGAAACCCCATGGAACAGTTCTACTCTGTCCTATAGGGTCGCTATGAGTTGGAATTGACTTGACGGCAATAGTTTTATATATATATATAAAACACTCCAGACCCATACATCCAATTGTTTACTTGACATCTCCAAGTGAATATCCAATATGCACCTCAAGCTTAACATATCCCAAACTGAGCTGCTATCCCCCCTTCCCAAATCTGCCCTCCCTTGGTCTTCCTTATCTCTGTAAATCGTTTCTCTGGTCAAAAATCTTGGAATCATAGTTGGCTCCCCTCTTTCTCTCACAGTCTACATCCAATCCATAAGGAATTTTCAGCTCTATCTTTAGAATACATCCACAATCTGACCACTTCTCACCACTCCCACAACTACTGCCCTGGTCCAAACTACCAATAGCCCTTGCCTGGATAAATGCAATAACCTACTAACTGGCCTCCCTCTTTCAACCCTTGCCTCCTTATAGTCTGTTCTCCTCATAGTAGTCAGAGGGATCCTGTTAAATCCTAAGTCAGGCCATGTCCCTCCTCTGCTCAAATTTCTCTGTGGCTCTCATGTCAATGCAGAGTAAAAACCAAAGTCCATACAAGGGCCCACAAGGCCCTAGACAATCTGGCTCAAGGTACCTCTTTAAGCCCATCTCCTATTCTCCCCCTCACTCACTCTGCTCCAGCCACACTGGCTCCCTTGCTGTTTCTTGAATTTGTTAAGCACATTCTTATCTCAGAGCCTTTGCAAGTACTGTTCCCTCTGCCTGGAACCCTCTTCCTCTAGATCTTTGCAAGACTTACAATCTTTCTTTCAGATCTCTATTCAAATAGCATTTCCCTCTCAAGAGACATCCTTGATCACTCACTCTATCCAAAATAGGACTTTTACACTCACTCTCTATCTCCCTTGCTCTACTTTCTCTTTCTTTGTAGCACTTCTCATCCACAAACTGACATAAACTTGATTATTTTTTCCTTGTCTGTCTTCTCCACTAGACTGTGAGCTCCTAGAAGGCAGGAATGTTTGTCTGTCTTATTCACTGCTGTATCCTTAGTGCCTAGAATATGGCCTGGCACACAGTAGGCACTCAATAATTATTTGTGGAATAGGCATTCCAGACAGGCAGTAGGAAAACACAGTGAATGTTTCAGAGAACAACAAGCAGTTAGTTAGATTTGCCTGGAGTAAAGAGGTAAGGAAAGGAGGTATGGAGGGAAGGTTTTTGTGGTTGGGTAGGCCTAGAGGATAAAGAACTTTGAATGTCAGACTCTATGAGCTTATATGGCAGCAAGGACTTCTTGCTATGGAGAATGGGGAGTCATAGATAATTCTTGAAAAGGGGATGGATTGGGTCAGGGCTGACCTTTGAGGAGTGATAGTTTGGTGTTCTAGAAAATGTTAGTGCAACTCTGTAGGAGGCAGGTACGACAGTCTCTATTTTACAAATGGAAAAACTGAGGCACAGATATCATGAAAGCCACTTGACCAAGATGGCAGCTTCCAGGAACATTTAGGTAGCATATGCAGCTTCTAGAAAGCGGGAAGTGTTTCTAGGCAGCTGAAACAGACTATTGCTGTGGGTAGGCTATGTGGGGGTGGGCCGAGATGGCACTGACCCAAGGTCTCTTGGGGAGTGTGGGGATGGAGGGTGGAGCTGGTCTGGCAGCAGCACACTGAGGCCTCTGTGTGTGTGCTGCCTCCAGCCAGCATAATTTCCACAGACTCTGCCCAGGAACATTTCTTCCAGCCTGCTTCGCTTAATTTTTTAAAAATTTCTTTTGGTGTTTTTTTCTACTGAAACAAAAATCCAGATTCTGTCTGACTGCTTGGCTCTTGCATCCTTTGATCCCCAACTTCTCTGGTTAGCCCCCATAACCTGGACCCATGCATTCTTTTTTGCCTTTGGTCACCCTGGGTCCCCAATGTGCAATGATCTTGGCCCCTTCAAATCCTACCCATATTGAAATTCTGCTTCCAGGAAGCCCTCTTTGACTATCTCAACACCTCTCCCCTGGCCTTGACTCCACAACCATCACCTCTGACCTAGGCCCTCTCCAGGGGACTGCCATCTGTCCATCAGACCAAGAAGTTCTTGATGGCAACATCTAGGCTTCAGGGCTGCTGTCTGAGTTCTCACAGGTTGCACAGGGTGCCCTCCCCACCAGCAGCGGTAGTACTGGTGGCGTAAGTAGGGACTGAAAACTCAGCCTGTGCTGGGTTCACTAATCTGCGAAATCTGAGAGTCCCTCTACCCAAAGCAAAGCAAAACTTTTTTATAATTCACTCTAAGGTGTTATATGGGGTAATGAAGTCCTGCTAAGCTTTCTCCTTATCTGCAACTTCTGCCACCTTCATCATCAAAATGAAAACGCCATCCTCTACTAGGCTGAACAAGCTGTACAAGCTGAAATCAGCGAAGCATCTGTTATATTTACTTACTCCCCGCATGAAATCAGGTTGTTTCTTCCTCCTTATGGCCTCTCAAATCCTTTCCTCTATCCCACTGTACTGCTCTCACCTTCAGCGTCCCTCACGTGGACACGGCCCCAATTTCCTTACAGATCTCCCTGCTTCCCAGCTGCCCCACTCCAGCCCACCCCCACTTGCACTATCATCACTCCTTGATTAAAACCTTGCTATGTCTCCTCATTGGAGCCCTGGTGGTGCAGTGGTTACGAGCTCCGCTGCTAACCAAAACGTTGGCAATATGAATCCACCAGTCGCTCCTTGAAAACTCTGTGGGGCAGTTCTACTCTGTCTTATAGGGTCACTCTGAGTCAGAATCGACTTGACGGCTTTTTTTTTTTTAATGTCTCCTCATTATGGGCCACAGTTATCTCCAAAGTGGGATGCACATGCCCCAGGGCATGCTGGAGACAAGTCATGAGGGAGTGAGAGAACAATATTAAAAATACAGGGCTTTTATCCTCATCCTTTAAAGATGTATATTTTTGCATACACTTCATAATATACTTAATATATTTACTCAGTAGTATATTTACATAATTTATATATTAGTAAATACACACATTTAGGGAGATCAAGTTTTTCCTGATAGGTGTGCACACACATAAAATGATTTGGAGACCATTAAGTAAAGTTCAGATATTCGGTCTGGCATTGGAAACCCTCCATCACCTAATCTTTTCCTACCTCTCAAGTCTCATTTCTGATCACTCTTCTACCCCTGCCTTATGCCCTACACTCCAGTGACACTGAAGTATTTGCAGTTCCCCTAATGAGAGAACATTTGTTCCTTTATTCCTTTTGCCTGGGTTTCCCAGCCCTGCCCTAACCCTGCCTGCCTGGTGAACATCTCATATTTCAAGCCTCAGTTTAGGTGTCATCTCTGACTGCCTGGAGGTGGGGTGGAGCTGGGGAACTGACCACAGTCTCCTGGTTGGCCTCTCCATTCCCACCATGCATATTCTGACTGCTCCTTCGTCCCAGCATATTTGATGAAAATTATGTTTCCTTTTTTCACGTCCCCCACAGACGATGAATTCTGTGAGAGCAGGGACCGTGTGTAATTCATCTCTGTCTTTCTGTAGTAGTAAGGCACACAGTCGGTATCAGGAAATGTTTGTTTAAAATAAGAATAGCTAATATTATCAAGTACTTACTATGTGCTCAGCACTGATTTTTGCATATGCTTTCACATATATTAACTCATTAAATTCTAGCAGGGGGCTACTAATTTTATCCACATTTTACAGATGTGTAAAATGAGACTCTAAGAAGTGAAGTCACATGCCCTGAGTCCCATAGCTGGTGGAGCCAGAATTCAAACTCAAGAAGTCTGATCTCAAGAGTGCATGTTCTTAATCACTATGCTCTGCTGAAAGAATGAACAAACGTATGCATGAATGAATGAAGTGGTTAGTTTGAAAGCAGACTTACACAGTGAAATTGGAGATAAAGGCAAGGCGAGGCAGATCCAGGTCAAAGATGGCTTTATGGGCCTCAGCATGTGGATTGAACAGGATAGAGGTGACCAAGGTGTGGGCATAGCGGGATACTACAGTGGATTGCACAGAGTAGCTCGTTATCAGCAACTGAGAGAGAAGACAGGGAAGTGGGTTAGGTAGACTCTATCCTTGGCCTAGATGGGCTGGTGCTTGGGAATCCAAGATGCTTGGACAAGTCTCAGGGTACTGGTGAGAAAACTAAGGACTAGAGAGGGAAAATGGCCTCTGTAATCCATTTGGTGACTCTGCCTTAATATTTCAGTGAGCTTTATCAAATCTCAGAACCAAAGACTCACAGAAGATCACAATTCAAGGGACCTCTGGACAAGTGCTTCTCCAATTTTAATGTGCACATTAATCTCCTAGGGATCTTGTTAAAATGCAGACTACGATTTAGCAAATCTGGGGTGAGGCCTGAGATTCTGCATTTCTAGCAAGCTCCCACGTGATGTTGATGCTGCTGGTCCACAGATTTCACTTTGAGTAGCAAGGCTTCAGAATATAACAGAACAGGTGCCCTTTATTGAGCCTTACTCTGTGTGAGGCACTGTGATAAGTGTATACAGTTTTCTTCTTTAGGGCCTCAGGTGTGCAGAATTGCACCTGATAAGTGCAGTCACGCACTGCAAACATGATAAGTATTTGACATCTTATTTAATCCTCATATCAGCCCTATGAGCTTGGTACTAGTATTTTCCACGTTTTACAGATGTGTTAACTGAAGTGCAGAGACAGAGGTCACACAGCAAATAAGATATCTATCATCTTCTTTGCCTTTCCTGAAGCCATAGTCCTTCCATCTACTCATACATAATGCACATCTAGTTAATTCCCAGTGTGGAGCAGTGGGAAATGAGGGCAATTTGGGATCAGATGGACCTCGGTTCAAATTCTGGTTCTGCCACTTTATGTGGCTTAACATCTGAGTCTCAGTTTCCTCCTGTATGTAATGGAGATAACAATAGAACCTAGCTCATAGGGTTATTGTGAGGACTAAATGAAATAACTCTAAAATCCCTGGTGCAGCACCTGACATGTGCTCAGTAAATAGTAACTCTTTCCTCTAACTCTAGCTTCTCAGTCAAAGGACTGAGGAAACAGACCAAATAACTTTGCCCTGCTCCCCCAAGGAGATAATTTTCTCATAAATCCCATAGGTTTGTTCCTTCATTCCAGAACTGACCTTTGTACTTTATGAGGGGAGGCCAAGGGGTCCCTGGTATGTCAGTTCCAGGAGAATGGTCAGCAAAAAGCTGACACAGACAAGGCATCTCCATGCAGACATGATGTCACCTCTGGCCTGGGTCTGTTTCTCATGTCCAGAAGGTCTGCGCTCGCTCCCCAAAGCCTTTCTCTTTTAAACCTCCAGGTATCCCTTCTCATGAGAGGGTGGGACCATCCTGAAGGGTGGAGAAGGCGGTGAATGTAGCATTGAGGCCCACACAAGCCAGGATTGTTCAAGTGCTGGGGCTGGCATCTTGCCTGTAGAAGCGCCAGTTCCATGCCTCCCTTTCCCCCTCATCCAGCTGTAGATGAATGGAAACTAAACATACCACAGTGCTGGGTTTGTCTGTTTGTTATTTTGGCTCAGGGTGGGGTTTTTCTTTCCTATAAACATCCACAGGAGCCCAGTAACTGGGGCCAAAGAAAGGTCACTTAGCATTGATCATCTTAAAATGGTAGTGGATATGAGAGAGAGGCTGGTGGAGCAAACCCCCAATCCTAATCCTTTCTAATACTGACTTTAGCCTAGAGACAGGAGGGACTTATCCAGTGTCCCATAACAAATTCAGAGTCCCACTCACATGAGGCTTACAATCTCCAGAACAGTCAAAGGCCAAGACAGGCTGGGGCAGGACTGAGAATATAACATAGTGGTTCAAAATACAGGTTCTGGATTCAAATCTTCTGGGCTTGAATCTCAGTTCTGCTTCTTACTAGCTGTGTAATATTGGGTAAGTTAATTACCCTCTCTGTGGCTTTGGTTTCCTCCTCTATAAACTGAGGTAGTACCAGCACCTCCTTCATAAAGTTGTTATGAGGATGAAGTGAGTTTGTACTTTCTGAATGCTTGGCACATGGTGACATTCAGTAAGTATTAGCTGTTAGGATTAGGGAAAGAAGGGGTATGGCTGAGATCAAAAGTATGCGAAGTTCCCTGTGCCTCCTGAGACCTGGGTGGGGAAGGGGAGGAGGGGGGAGATGCCATGCCAAGGGGAGTCAAGCTGCCTGTGAGAACCCAGAGATACTCTGGACTCAGTGTCCGCAAGTATAGTGGAGGGTGGGAGTAAGGAGTGAGGCTTAAAAAATGAGAATTACTTGAAGGTCTGTAGACGGGGCCTCAGAATCAGTCAGAACCCTTGTCTCTCTCCTTTACCACACACATAAAACACAAGCAGCTCCAGCATTTGCCTTCAGGTAAAACTTTGACAGCATTTTACCAACTGCCTAGGGAACACTAAGACTTGTCCTCGGGCATTTGGCAGCACAAAACAAAGTTTTCTCATTCTGGCATTTGGGGGACCCATAGCCACCTCCTCCAAGACCACACAAAGTTTCCCATCAGAATTTTTTAGTTAGAAACAGCCCTACTTACACAACAACAGAATAAACCCATATCAGCTACCAATATGCCACAAACCAGGAATAATCAGAGAAAAGAAAGACTCCTTAGCAATTGAAAATAAATTGCTAAAATAAAAAAATAAATCAGTGGAAGGACTAGAAAACAACAGTGAGGAAATCACCCAGAACATAGGGCAAAAAAATCAAAGAAACAAAGTATGAGAGAAAATTTGAGACATAGATCAATCCAGCAGGTTCAACATCTGAATAATAGGTGTCTCGTACAGAAAATAGAAACAATTAAGGAAAATTTATCAAAAACATATTAGACTCTAGATGTCCTCTGAATGTATCAGACATACTTAGCCACCATCTATCTTCTGTGACTCTAAGCTCCTCCACTGGAGAAATAGGGTCTTAACTATCTAGGTACCCCCAGGGAGGAGCCTACCTTCTGGAACACAGTATTGGCTCCATAAGCATTAAACTGTATGATCATCAAACCATAAATGTATTTTTTATCCTAACCATCCTCCTTTGTTTATTGTTTTTCCCCTGCCAGGACCTAATGCTGTACAAGCAAGACTAGTGAATGAATGAATGAATAAATGAATGTGTTGATAAATGAAAAAAAATTAGAAGTTAGTTTCTCAAAGTTGAAGTTAGTTTCCCAAAGTTGAAGAAGGATGTCCAAAACAGGTGCCCAGAACAGTAATCCAGGAAACAGTGGCTCCAGCCCAAGTCATCACTGCAGCAGCCTCCTCAGTGGTCCTTCTGCTTCTGCCTTTCCTTCCTCCCCACTGTATATTTTCACAACAGCCAGAGGGATCCCTTTAAAACCCAAATCAGATTCTGTCCCTCGCTGCTCAAAACCCTCTTGTGAATTCCATTGTTGCTTACAGGGCTTTATAAGATTAGGCCCCCATTACCTCTCTGACCTCATTTCCTAATACTTCCCTCCCCTTCTTCCCCCACCACTCCAGCAACACTGGCCTTTATGTTCTTCAAAAATGCCAGGAATGCACAACATGATGAACCTCGAAAACATCATGCTGAGAGAAATAAGTCAGTTGCAAAAGGACAAATACTGTACCTTCTCACTTGTATATAATAAGCAAATGTATAGAAACCAAAGATTATTAGTGGTTACTAGGGGTGGGATGGGAGGGAAAGGGGGAGTTTTTGTTTAGGGGGCATTGAATTCGTGTTAATGGTGGTGGAATATTTGGAAAAGGATAGTGATAATGGTGGTACAACAATGTTACTGAATGGTAAATATGGAAGTTGTTATATTGGTGAATGTTTGGTGTATATATTTTCACCACAAAAATAAATCAATAAGAAATAACAAATAAAAATGTAAATGGATTAAAAAATGTCAGGGGTTAAAAAAAAAGCCAAGCAAGGTCCTGCCCCAGAGCCTTTGCATTGACCTTTCTCCTTGGAAAGTTCTTCCCCCAGATATCCACTTGGTTAGCTCTCTCACCTCATATAAGTCTTTGTTCACATACCACATTTTCAGTGAGTCTTTCTCTGACCAACCTACTTAAAACTGAAATCACTCCTCCCTCCCCCACTGGCACTTCCCATCCCTTTTACCCTGCTTTATTTTTCTCCATAGCACTTATCATACTTTAACTTGTTATATATTTTACTTATTTATCTGATTATTTTCTCTCTCTCCCTTGCTAAAATATTAGCTAGATGGGGGCAAGGATTGTTATTTGGCTTGTTCACTGCTGTATTCTCAGCTACTAGAACAGTCCCTGGCACATAGTAGACCCTCATTAATTATGTGTTGAATGAGTGACTATAATAAAGGCAAATGATTCAAGGAAGGAAGAAAGAAAGGTTTTTAGAAACTCTGGGTGTGTGGGAGAACAGTTCAAGAAAATAATGATCCAGATATAATGCAAAATAAAATATAGTATGATTGTAACCACCAATGAAGTATAAGAGACTCCACTTGACCTTGATGCTGGAAACATTCTCCTTTGAGAGGCTAAGGATTGTGGCATGGGACTTGTAGAGAAGGAAATGTATTCGTGGCTCACTACTTGGTAGGGTTTTGAAAAATATTTACATAGTCATGATAATTAAACGCTGTTTGTTGGTTTTCAGGTTTTAGAATCAACCTGGGGACAAAGCAGGGAACATCTGCTTGCGGCTGCTGAACATAAAGTAGATGTTAATAACCTGGACAAAGTAAAAGGAAAGATGAAACTGAGAATGTGGAACATTGAAGAGGTGGGGTGTGGGGGCAAGTAGGTGGGTAGTGGCACTAATATCCTTGTCCCAAAAACTGAGAAGTCAAGAGAATCTGTCAAAAATGGAACCTGAAAGATTAGATAGGAAACTTAGGGGCCAGTGAGTTTATTTTAATGGGGGAGGAACGACTCAGAAAAGGAGGGTAAGAATGGTTGCACAACTTGAAAAATGTAAACATTGTCACTGAATTGTACATGTAGAAATTGTTGGATTGATGTATGCTCTGCTGCATATTCTCAACAGCAATAATAAAAATAAAATAAATTATAAAAAATGGATGGAACGAGAAATGGAGGTTTCAGTATATTTACAAAATTAACCAGAGTTAACAACTGGAAGAGATCTATATTTATGTCTATTCCAAAGAAAGGTGATCCAACTGAATGCAGAAATTATCAAACGATATCATTAATGTTACATGCAAGTAAAATTTTACTGAAGATCATTCAAAAGCGGCTGCAGCAGGACATCGACAGAGTACTGCCAGAAACTCCTGCAGGATTCAGAAGAGGACATGGAACCAGAGATATCATTGCGGATGTCAAATGAATCCTGGAGGAAAGCAGAGAATACCAGAAAGATGTATACCTATGTTTTATTAACTACGCAAAGGCATTCGACTGTGTGGATCATAACAAATTATGGATAACATTGAGAAGAATGGGAATCCCAGAACACCTAATTGTGCTCTTGAGGAACCTGTACATAGATCAAGAGGCAGCCATTTGAACAGAACAAGGGGATACTGTGTGGTTTAAAGTCAGAAAAGGTGTGAGTAAGGGTTGTATCCTTTCACCATACTTATTCAATCTGTATGCCCAGCAAATAATCCAATAAGCTGGACTATATAAAGAAAAACTTGGCATCAGGATTGGAGGAAGACTCATTAACAACCTGCGGTATGCAGATGAAACAATCTTGCTTGTTGAAAGTGAAGAGGACTTGAAGCGCTTACCAAAGAAGATCAAAGATCACAGCCTTCAGTATGGATTATACCTCAGCATAAAGAAAACAAAAATCCTCACAACTGGACCAATAAGCAACATCATGATAAGTGGAGAAAATATTGAAGTTGTCAAGGATTTCATTTTACTTCAATCCACAATCAATACCCATGGAAGCAGCAGTCAAGAAATCAAATGATGCATTGCATTGAGCAAATCTGTTGCAAAGGACCTCTTTAAAGTGTTAAAAAGCAAAGATGTCACCTTGAAGACTAAGGTGTGCCTGACCCAAGCCATGGTGTTTTCAACTGCCTCATATGCATGCAAAATCTGGACAACGAATAAGGAAGACCGAAGAAGAACTGATGAATTGTGAATTATGGTGTTGGTGAAGAATATTGAATATATCATGGACTGCCAAAAGAATGAACAAATCTGTCTTGGAAGAAGTACAACCAGAATGCTCCTTAGAAGTAAAGATGGAGAGACTACACCTCACATAATGTGG